AGAAAAGTCTTAAAAAGGGGCAAAACTCAACACATTTTTTCACTTACGGTTGTAAATGTTGCCTTCAATTGTGCTCATAAAGCGAGGACTACCTGTATTCCAAGTTCTAATCTGGACTCTGCCCAAGATGCCCCGGGAGAGGGGACACCTCGGTCCCGCCGCCTCCATTCTTTTTTTCAATTTCACTCACCCAGGTAGAGGCGGTCGCGGCTGCGGCACCGACGCGGGCTGACGTTGAAGTCGACGTAGAAAAGCAGGAGCGGGTGGCCGAAGTTGGCGCCGGGATTGGGGTCCAAAACCAAGACGGCGTCTTGGCCGGCAGGTGCGAGGGCTGCTCGCTGTGGTCCGCCGCCACCGCTCTGGTTCCGGCTGGAGACGAGGGGCGCGCTAGGCTTGTCTCCCCAGCCGTCGGGCAGAAGCGCTCGCACTTTCTGACCCGGCCGGGCAGGTTCGGAGATATAGACGGCAGGGCCCGGCCCTTGCGAGAGCCGCACCAAACGCTGACACTGAGACCGGGGCAAGAGCCCGCCGCGGTCCGGGCACTGAGTCGCCGCCACGTGTCTGAGCGCCGCCGCCGCCCAGCGCGCCACCCGCGCCTCGGAGAAGCGGCTCTCCGACGGGGCGGCAGGGCAGGGCCAAGCCAGGGCGGCGGCAGCCAAGGTCAACCATAGCGGGGCCATGGGGGAACCGGAGCCCTGGCGGACTGTGCCGGGCCAGCGGGACTCCTCGACTCCCCGCCCTGCCCCGGAGAAGGAGAAGAGGCGGACGGGAGCGCCTGTGGCGAGGCTCTCTCGGTTGTTGGTTTTTAGGCTGCTCCCTTCGCGAAGAGCTACCCGCCCGTCTCTTCGACCGCGCGGGAGGCTTCTTGCTAGCTGGAGCTGGGGCCCCGCGCGGTTTTTGCTCCCCTCGGGCCGACTGAGAGGATCCTCCAGGGCAGCCCAGTCTCTGCCCAGAGAGGGCAAGGCGCCCCGCGGGGGTCAACGGGGAAGAAGAAAGCGAAGGAAGCGGCGACTTGGCGGAAGACTGAACTCCTTGCTCGGGAGAGCCAAAGTGGAACCCTACCCAGATCAAACACATTAAGAAGACGGCTTCCAATCATGCGCAGACCTGCTTTTTTCCATCACCGCGCTGCCCCCCTGTAGGGCGCACAGACGGGTCGACAAACAACAATATTCGCCGGAAAAGGCATCTAAAGGCAGCCAAGTGTCCGTCTCAGCTCTCGGGTCCTTTATGCGTCTGTCAGGAGTTCGGTGTATTGAAGTCGATTAATTTACGTATCTGAGTAGATTGGCCTAAGGGAGTTACGGCCCTGCGTTCCTGTTAGTGGACAGATTAAACCACCATTTGCCTCTTCAGTGTGGTTTTAATGCTTCCTTTTGAGCAAAGCATTCCAGATCGTGGAAATCGTTTTAGGGACCCCATAACTTTAGAAGGATGGTGTAAAGTCTCCTTTCTTTCCTCATAGCCTGTCTCAGCATCAAACGCCTTTGGACGCCACCTAAACTTCTCCTCCTCCTAAGGTGCTAGGCATTATCTTTCTCCCAGCCTGTTTTTAAAGTTTACCTTCGAATTCCAGAAAACTTTTTCCCCCTGCTCGATCAGTCATAAGTGCTCTCCCTACCCCCACCTCCCCAAGAAAGGATTATTAAGCTAGACAGATCTGTGAGAAAACTTAGGAGCGTATCAGTTGTCACCTTGGTAAAATGTCACATCAACATAGCCAGTGTTCAAGAACACCATTTCCTGCTTTGCTCTGATTTTTTGGGTATCCTTGAAGGTTTTAGCATCATTTGGCATAATTGTAAAACACCCCACACACCCCCAGAACCCTTAAGTGACTCAATATAGAAATCAATAAGCAGATGTGGTGGAAAATCTACTTGGGAAGCGAGTGGCATAAGATTACACCAGCGGAAGCCTGAGCTGGAGAGCCAAAATGATGGGTTCCCCCCCCCCTGGAAAAAAAGGGGGAAGCCCCGTTTAATGATGTTTTCAGTTACTGTAAGCTAAAGAATGCTACTGAGGAATTGTTATGCAGTTGTGTGCACAGCAATGTCCTTCTTGGGAAGAAGAGGGATGGGTGTGAGATCCTGAGATCTTAGATTTTTTGCTACAGAAAATTAAATTACAAAGCACCAAAAGCGACCTCACCAGAGGCCGAAGTGAGAGAGAGGAGGCTGTTGTGCCCCACCTCCAAAGATAACTCTTCCCTGCATTTTTTTGCTTCTCCAGCATCTTCTGAAGTGGTGGTTAGCGTCTTCTTGCAGTTTCCGCCTATCTGGCAGGAGAGGGTCAAGCCTAATAAAGCCTTCATCTTCCCGGTGCACCCCTTCCAGATATGTTTTGCACACCAGCCATCCTAATCTCCAAGAGATTATTTTAGAGACAGAATCCATGCCATCCTACTTGGCAATTTCAGGGAACCACATGGGCATGTCCATGCAGCTATTTTTTGCAATAGTTCACAACTGGTTTGCCATGGCTGACTTCCAGAATTTGTTTCTTCCCAATCTAGCCAATAGTTGTAGGTTCTCGTGGTAGTCTCTCATTCAAGTATTAAACAAATTAAGTTTCATAAGATCAATTGAGACAGGCTGAGGCTTGGTGTTTGTTTCCTTTTTGCATACCACTAACGTTGAGTCTGAAATGTTTGAAATGCCCACTGCATATACAATTGATTGGTGTGGTTGGTATGATTAAAAAGTGGGGACAGAGATTACTATTAACTATCAATCAATAATCACAGCCCTAACCCATTTGGGAAAGGAGGCATGTGTATGAAACAGATGAAATAATTACATAATCAAGTGGTGGACAAAACTTTTAGTGGGCTAAAAAGGAACAAATGCACTGGCTGGATGCAGCCACTTTGCCTACTGAAATCTTAAATAATGGTAGATTGAGTAAAGGCAAAAAAAGAGGGGAGGGGAAAGGTGGAGAGGCGAGGGGAAGCCTTGGGATGAGCTTCTCCATACTATTCCTTTCAGGTGACAGCTCTGGCACAGAAAATCAGATGGGTAGTGGCTGTATTGCAGCACCTACACCAGCATCCCTGGTTCATCGGCTGATGCACTCATTCCTCATTGCTGCCATGCTAATAGTGCATCACCTAGCCAGTCAGCAAGGCAGCAGGGTGGGACGATGCCTGTAGAGGGGTCTTTGGAAATAGGGCCAGGCAGCGTTCAGCCTGAGTACAGCAACTCTGGCATGAGGGATAGATGGGCGGTGGGGAGATTTCTTCAAAGGGTGGTAGGAGATTTCTTCAAAAGGCAATCAAAAGGTTGGGTAGCATTTCTTACCAGGCTCCAGATTGAGAGTGATGGAAATGGAAGCCCCACAGAGCTTCTGAAGTTGGTTTCAAAGTGTCTTAAACCACTGCTGTGAACAGTTAGGCTCTAAGAAATGATTTTGTCCTTTCACAACTAAGGATCACAATGGCTCTACTATCTCTCCTTTAATGATTAAGCATCCTTGGTGCTTCAAGAGAGATTAAAGACCAAAAATTATTTTCAGGTTTTGCAGTGGAAGTGTTCTCAATGTCAGTAACCAGGGTTTATTTGTATTCTTATTATCTTCCACTGCCACCTTTCCACCTTTTATCCACCAATACCTTTTGCACCCCAATCAATTAAGTCAGCTTCTTTTGGCTGTCTCACATTCTTCCTCTCAAATGGGCTAGAGTTAGGAATTGACAATTACCTCTGAAAATTAATTGCTGTAATCACAAGGATATTGCACTAACTGATTATCTCCATGGCAGGAACAAGCTTTTTGACATGAGATTTTAACACTAATGGTGAGCAAAAAAAGGAACAAGAACCCAACGTGATAATACAATCAAACCGTGTAACACGTTAACAGATAAATGCAGAATTAGTTCTCATTGCATATCTGAAAGATCCAATTTAGTATGAGACTGACATACTAAATGGTTCGACATTACTAATAAAAATATAAAAAGAACAAAAGGTTTAAAATGTAGCCTGTGGGATGGCAGAACTAAGTAGCATCTTGTTTTATTGAAAACAGTGAGTAAAGAGCAGTGATGGGGAGTTTTTCAGTTGTTGAACACAACTGCTAGGGGCCTACGCTGGCATGGCAAATGCCAAAGAGCACTAGAAGCTGCAGTTCAGCAGACTTTACAAACCCACATGGTCCACCTTTGAAAGTCACTGTTATGAAACAAGAAAGGTGTACATTTTACAAGCTACATCCACCAAGGATGCATGGTTTTTTGCACAGAACAGTACCAGGGAATGCTGCAACATTAACAATGAAGATCTAAATTTATTCTTTGGACATTTGCCATTCAAATAAACCCACTATATATATATGTGTGTGTATTTTTAATTTGATTTATATGCCGCCCTTCTCCGGAGACTCAGGGCGGCTTACAATGCGTCAAGCAATAGCCTTCATACTTTTGTATATTTATACAAAGTCAGCTTATTGCCCCCACAAACTGGGTCCTCAATTTACCTAGTTACCTATGACCCAGTTTATTAGACAGATAGATACATAGTTATGTTTAATTACTAATCAAACCATAGGATGAAAGAAACAGCTGTATAAAGTTTCCAGATACCAAGCACACATGCTAAGATTAAAATTTGGGACCCAGAAGCTAAATGCAGCCCACAAGCTCTTCAGCCTGCCTTCCAAGCAAGTTAGATACACACATTTGAATACTTTTTCTTTGGCCTACATGGCTGCTGGGCTGTACTCCGTTGGGATAGAGCATGTTAGTAGACCTATTTTAGCTTAAGGGCATTCTCTATTTTTGATTCAAACATCCTCAGCCATTTTGTAATCAACAGCTGGTCGGAAAACAGGAATAAGAATACCTTATCTAGTGGACCTGGAAATATTCACACGAAACCTACATTATAAGTAAACAAGAAAGCCATTTAAAAATGTTTTAAGTAAAGATTCATTTGACTGGATTTTTAACAGTACAATTTAAAGCTCTGTTTAAAGTGGCCCAATGTCTAAAACATAAATATGATCTTGTCCATACCCATGCATATTTATTGAAAAGTAAATTCCGTGTTGCACAATACAAGCTTTCTAAATCAGTTTACACAAAGGTGAAGCTTTCTTCTTTCAGTAAGAAATCTAACTTCACATCTCTCTCTGTGCGTGTACATACGCACATGGAGAAATTTGATTCTTGCTCCATTTTGCAATTGCAAAAGGTGGACTGATTCCATGACAAAAAGTCTTTATAGGTTTTTATAGGTTGCACAAAGGCCTCTTTTACTTGCAAACTAAAATATTGTATTTATTCTAGTGCATAATGTGTAGGCATGCTTATAAAAGAGACGTATGAATTTCAAATCAGGAAGCCAGATCAGATAATTTCTTGTTAACTTAAATTAGCCTTGCATTAAGTAATTCTGAAAATATGATGCATTTAAGAAACCTTTATACCCCAGTACCTGGGCTAGAATAGTTTCAATGAAACAAATGCCCTCAATTTTATCTAGTAAGGAGCTGTCCTATTAAATATTGCAGTTCATCAATTCCCAGTACAGGCAGTTTCAGAACAAATCAAAATAATTATTTCCTGACATTCCTAAAGATATGTACTTGAAAGAACATTTGCTGTATCCACTGGTATAAAACAAATGCTATCAATGGATTTAATGAATTTCCTGTAGTCCCAAATTGCTGCAGAGAATGGAGGGGCATTCAGAACAGAACTGGGAACATACAGAAGAAGAAGAAGAAGAAGAAAGAAGCCTAAATCTCATTGCAAAGGCAGAAAATTTAATCCAATGAAAGTAAAGGACGAGATCTTTCTGTCTGTCAATTTATTGGTTCCTGCCAGTTTCCAATAATCTTCCCTGCTTTGACCCTGTAAGCGACGCAGCAAAGGCACAGAATGCTGGACGATGCCTGGGACTGCAGAGAGAGGGAGGGAACCAAGTGACAGCTGGCAGAAGGTGGTCCCAACCAAACATGCATCGGATGGAAAACAATTACAGACAGGTTCACTGAAGCATGGGAGTCACCTAGGGCAGGCACTCTGTTTCATGCAATCTAAAGCAACTGGCGATATACTGGAAGTTGGTTACTCATTTCTTCAAGGCTGATCTTTGGCTGTTTTTCTCAGAGGGTGCCGAGTGTCAGAGTACAGGACGAGGGTCTGGCAGTAACATTCAAGACACTCAGAAGATTTAGTTGTCAGCTCCCAGCAAGGAAAGGATTACATGGATCAGACCCAGAGGCAGTTCCTTCCCTTGCTTTGGCGGTGTAATCTTAGGAATCCCAACTAGCAGTTAAGACGTTTATTTGATATAGAAACTTCGAAAGGATAGCTATGGGGAGCTATCTTCCCCTTATTTTGCAAGCAGCAGCAAAGCAGGAGGAGGTAGCAAAAGTCCCTCCTATGAAAGCATTTAGCACCACCTACTGTCCAAATGTGCTACAGGCCAAAACAGATTGGAGGAAGGCAGTAAGTTAAGTCCTTCATCCCCTGCCGTGAAACATTCCCAGCGCAGCACATCATTGGAAGCCGATTAAAAAATGACGGGGATTGGGGACTGTAGTTCTGTAATTACTGCTGCCTTGTCCAATGGGAGAAATAGTGCCAGCTGTCTCAGAAGGCACAGGCACAGTCCTAGTGCAAGTGGCAGCAGTTGGGTGGCAAAGAGACTCTTTGCAAGATCCGGGTAGGGATTCAGTCTTTGGTTCATTTCTAGTACTTTTGAGAGTGCTCCAGTGGTAAAACAGGAGGCATAAAGGAAGCCCCAGAATGGCCAGAGATGGTTTCCAGGTCGAATGGTTCTGGTGAGGCTCAGGATAGGCAGCAATTGGATGGCTTTGTGCTTCGAGCCTAGGACACAAAGATACAGGTGGATGAGAACAGCGGAGAGAGATTAACATTCTCCCCTCCATTCCCCTCTTCACAATATTGTTCATCATTTATTACAGCAAGGAAGTCTATGGACATTCTCAGTCATTCAGGTCATGGTTGTCCCAAAGGTGCTTTTTTCAAGAGGCAACTGGACTTTCTGGTTTTTCTTTGAAGATGTTTCGCTTCTCATCCAAGAAATTTATTCAGCTCTGAAGCTTCTTCAGCTCCCCACCATCGAGTCAGGGAGAGAAGCGAAACGTCTTCAAAGAAAAACCAGAAATCCTGTTGTCTCTTGAAAAAAGCACCTTTGGGACTACAGCAAACAAGAAAAAAAATTCTATACCCCTCACTTCTTCCTAGGCTACTACTAGCCAATCCCCAAAGCCTGCCAGCCATTTCAATGCTTTTTCCCTATATTGTGAGTGTTCATTGCAAATCCTTGTTGAAGTCTTACTGGATTATGCTCATGAAAAACCCCTCTCATAAGTTTGTATCTGTAAAGACTCTACCAGAATAGAATAGCATAGGCTCAGTAGAGTGAGTTCTGCAGCTTATTTGAGGCATCCTATTGAAAATGAATTTTTTAAAGATCCTTTCACTTTCTTTATGTATCAAGAGGGTCATACAATTCCCAAATATTTATGCAATACATTTTTTTGTAGCTGTTTGGAACTATAACTTTACATTTTAAAGACTTCATTCTATTTAACCAGTTTTTATAGCTCAAAAGTAAACACAACAAAGTTCTGATACCTGAGACTTTAGTACCTGCTTCTTGTGTTCACCTGAAACTTTTGGGGGGGGGGGTTATTGCACATACTAATAGGGACAATTACTAATTAATTACTACCAAATCTGCCAAGGAAAAGCATTTAACAAAAATTAGTAGTATTTCCAGCCCCCAAAGTTTGGTTCAGAAAGAGCTAGATAGTCCTCGACTTACGACTATATTGGAGCCTGGAATTTGTCATAAGCCATGCCAGTCGTAAGTTGAGACATGCACATGACTGATTCGATTTTACAACCATTTGTACAGCTTTTGTTAAGCAGACTCTGCAGTTGTTAAGTGTATGCATTCCTAGGGGTGTTTATTTCCTGGAAACCAGTTGAAATAGCCCGTTTCTGCCACAAAAGTCATAAATCGTGTCATGTGACTGTGGAAAGCTGCAACCGGCTTGTCATGTGAATACAGGATATATGTCAGTAGTGGGTTTCAATTTCGGTCGCTATTGGTTTGCTCACGGGTGCGCGCACTTCTGCACACGTGTAATGCTTCTGCGCATGCGCAGAGACGTCTGGAAAGATGGGCGGAGTCTCCCGCTGCTGCCACCGGTTCTCCCGATCCAGGGCAAACCGGTAGCAACCCACCACTGGTATGTGTCTGTATGTTGCTGTTGGAAATATGGACATTTGTTTGTGGGGGTGTCCATTGTAACTCTGATTACTAAGTGATCGGTTATTAAGCAAGGGACTACCTTTATAGGGTGGCCAAAAGACCAGTTTTTCCAGTTTGAATTGAATAATTGGATTAGCACTGCCCTTGCTGGGATGTAACACGATACAATATTTGCAAGATGAATTAAGTCAAACTATGAAGACACTGAACTATCAAAAATTGCTCATCTCTTTTACTTGTTGCCGTAGTTGCTGCTGCTGATATTCTTCCTCACTAGCTGAAAGCGCTCGAGCCAATGCCAGGTCCTCCTCCTCTTGGGTGCTGTTAGAAACAAGGTCAAAATGAACTGGACAACCTATATAATTTAATCCTTCCCCGTTCCTGATATATTCATCCCACCATTGGCAGATTGGGTGATCTTTAAATGGAGAATCTTTATTTATGTTTATTGTTCAGAAGGCCTGATTAGCACTGAGTGCTTTGAATGCTCACCTTCAACCCCACGGGTCAGAAACAGAGAACCGGGCTTGATCTCAATAGATCTGCACTGGATCAGTGGCAATCTGCTGCTGCGCAATTTAAGCACAGCTGCCTTAGAAGTTCCCGCCCCTGTCTTACCTAGTATAACTTCTCAGCAAGTAGCCTGGGCATGGTAGTACAATAAAAAGAGAATATTTGCAACTCAGGGTTGAAATGAGGGGTCCTTGATGCTCTCTGAGCTTGGTTGCTTTCTTGCAGATTTTTCATTACCCAAACTATGTAAAATGATCGTGTTACCTAGTTTGGGTAATGAAACACCTGCAATAAAACAGCAAAGCTCGGAGAGCACCCTTCATGGTAATATAACTCTGTTGGTTTCTATTGGCTATCAGTACCTGCAGCGTTGTGGTTGGATGGCCGCTGTTTCTGCCAGAGACATCTCCAAGGCTCGCTGTAACGCTTCCTCTTCACTCTGAAATGAAGCACGAAAGCAGAATCAGCCTACCTGAGGGAAACCAAAAATCCTCAGCACTTGTACTTGGCTGGCCATTTTTCAAGGATCTGGGACCTGAACTGTGCCATTGTTCTATTTTCCCCTCATGTACGATGAGTTTTGTAGGCACGATGAAAATAAAACAGATCAAAGTATCAGACAATTATCTTCACGATACCAGATCAAAGAGTTCTTACAGACTCTGTACCAGCAACTGCGCTATGAGGCATGACAAAAAATAATGCTGGACCTCCTTACTTCTCCACTGACTCTCAACTCTCTAGCCCCTATTTCCCCATTCTTTAAAACAATAGTGGTAAACAGCTGTAATAAAGAGTCAACTTGGTGTAGTGCTTAGGCAAAGATGTTGGAAAAAGAGTCTCCTACATGAAGGCAGATTATTTACTTATCTGACTTCTAGCCTGCATTTCGTTCAGGAGATCTCCATCTCATAGCACTCTCTCCTCCCATTTTCATCAATAACAATTCTGTGAGGTATGGTAGGTTAGGATAAGGAAAGTAACTGGCTCAAAATCACCAATTAAAATTTCACAGCTGAGAGGAGCCTTCAACCTGAGGTGAGATACTGGTCAATTAATGAGATGGCTGAAGGAAGATCAGAAGAGAAGCAAAGTACACATAAATTGGTTTCTCATGTGAACTGATAGTGGCCTACTTTTTTTTTTCTAGGCCTCCACTGCAATTATACCACATTATTTAAGATGAGGTAACAATTGTCCTCTTTTGCAGCCATTCAACTGATGAGGGAAATACATCAATAGGTAACATAACTTATGTATTACATACAGTACACTGACTAGACTTACCAAACCGTTCTGCAGAGCAACAACAGGTACAGTCGGGCTTTGTGGCTGAGGTGCTCTTACTGTCTCACTTGATCTGTGTGCAAAGAGAAAAAAAGTGAGCTGCCAAATGCATGAAGTTGGCAGATCCTGAAATTGCCAACACAAATGTTCCCAGGAGATTCTTGTGCCCCCCAGAAGAGAAATGTGAATTGTTGAACCGGGATCCGGTTTTATAACATGTTTAGCACCAGCAGGGTTATCAGACTGAGGATACGATTAAACAAATAACATCATTCTGAGGGCTGGAAAACACTTCTAGTGCTACTTGGTTCTTTTTCTTCAGAGACTGATATACCCAAGCAAAGAAAATCAGTTTTTTTCCTCTTTTCTTTGTGATCTACAGGCATCACTTATTCGCGCAGTCATGCACTGACATGTACTTTCTCCAGCTCAAAGTCTATTTGGCTAGAATAGTCTGTTGAGTTCCAGAAGAATTGAGTTGGGATGTTCACACAGAATGCTCACTCGGTGTGATATCTCTGAAGAATTATGGCTCCCATCCATTTATACCTTCCAACAAAGCTTGGCCAATCCTCATTTTTCCTCTCATTTCCTAATACTTTTTTACCAAAATGCTATTGTGTAATCTAGCTGACACTGAGAACTATAATTTGTTGAATTCTGGTATTTTTCCACATGTTACATAAGGTGAAAGCTATCTGAGCAAGCCTTTCTTTCTGGCTTACTTTGAGTAAGTCTCACCTATTCCATGTTTTGTATATGTCCAAACAGATCAATGCTTTATAAAAAGAGGCATGATGATCACTACAGCAGAGTACAAATTGATAGGCATTATATGCTACAGATAGCATACCAACATCAACATTCTGATACATGGTTATACTTGGTTAACACGTGTTAATAGTAGTACAGCAATAAATGGCAAACTGTCCTCCATATGTTCTAAAAAAGTATCTGGAAGATAGTGTGCTGTCTGCTCAACCCATAGACAGAGAAGTGTCAGGTATCAGTACTTGTCAAAACAGTACTTATGGAAAGCTGTCACTACAAACCGAAAAAGACAAGAAAGCATCCAGATTCAGGTTATGACTGTACCTGCTGGAGGTTGGTTGGCTGACATGAGACCTCATGGCTGCGCCGCTAGATGTAGTGTTTACAGGTTCTTTGGCAGACTTTTGAGCCCGGGCTATGGCAGCATTCCTGGAACCAGAAGCAAAGCTCTAGTTATCAGCCTCAGCCCATCATTGCGTCACACGATCCATTTGTCTTTCCTCGAAATGAATCAAAATCCGCTTTATGACTCTTTCTGGTAGCCATGTTAAGTCTCACTCTTGTATGATTAATCTGACTTTCAAACTAAACTCAAACTGTACAGTCTATGGAGATTCTCAGTCATCCAGGTCACAGTGGTCCCTCTTTTTTTCAAGAGGCAACTGGACTTTCTGGTTTTTCTTTGAAGACGTTTTGCTTCTCATCCTAGAAGCTTCTTCAGCTGTAAGAGCTTCTTACCAGAAAGTCCGGTTGCCTCTTGGTCAAACTGTAGGGATAATTAGGAAACAATGTTACTGAGATTTTTAGAAGGATGTGAGGAAGACAGGCTATTGCCTTGCAATCTCAATTACTTTTATTTATTTATTTAATTTATTTATTATTCGAATTTCTATACCGCCCTTCTCCTTTCGGACTCAGGGCAGTGAACAGCCAAAATAAAAAACATTTATACATAAGTACGATTAAAAATAGATTTAAAATAATTAAATTTGGCCCATAGTTTAAAATTTACCAATTTAAAATCCATATCAAAATTTAAAACCAACCATAAAATCATAAAATCAAGAGACTTTTATAGAAATGCCAGAAAATCATGGAAAGTAATGGTTGATACCACCGTTATACAATTGTAACTAGTAAAATTCTCGGTCCTGCCTTTACCCGGCTTTGGAGAGTGAACGCCCAGTCTCATTGCAGTCATGGTCCAGGGGATGCCGGTGTTTGAGGCAGAAGTTGCCATGACATTGGTCACAGAGCACCTTCATCATTTCCCGTTGCTTGCAGCCAGGACGCTGACACTTGTTGGTGAAGATCTAGGAAAAGATGAGTTTAATCAAAGTAGAGTGTAGAGTTGAATTGCAAGTAGAGAATCAACAGTCTGCCTACTTTATTATTTATGAAGCCTCCAACCTCTAAACAGTGGAGAAATAATCCCTGAATTAAGTTTTCTCAAATTGCATAGTTTGATGTGGATCTTAAGTAGGCATATCCTTTCTTGTTTTGCTACTTTCAGTGAAATTGGAATCCCTATAAACAGCCTAACTTGTGCCTACTAATAATGTTTTTTTAAAAAAATAATTTTACTAAAGTGTTTTTTAAAAGAAGGTAAAAATGAATACAAACTAATATAAAGAACAAAGAAAAAGCATGCAAGCAAGGAAAACGCTGAAGTGCAAGAAAAGAAAAAAAGAGTAACAAAAAAAGAAAAAAGATTCGAAGAAGAGGCTTCCAATCTTCTTTAGAGCAATTATAAGTACAATATTTATCTCTTTCTCTAAAGTTATAACAAATCTCTCGTTTCTATAATCTTTTCTGTCTAATCATCAAAACCATAAATTAAATGTTCATCTTTTTCTGTTTTCTGCAATTCCATAAAGGGTTAAATTAAGATCTTAACTTATAATTTCCTTTTGAATCTTTATTCCAATTTTCATATCTTGTTTTATAAGCCAGATAAGCTTTCATTTAAAGCTACCCAATTCCCTTGCCTTCTGGATAAAATTCAGTCAAATTATTCTATCTACCTTAGGGTTTTCCGCCTCTGTATTCTTCTTATCCCAATCCAAAATTTTGTTAAAACTTAAATAATCTTTTCTTTAATATCTTCACCAGAAACATCAAGAATTGCTCTAAATTTCAAACAAAGTTCCTTCTTTCTTAGTTCTAGTCAGGCCAAATTATCTATGTATCTGTGTATAACTTTTGTCTTACTCTCCAAGATTTCAACTTTGTCACTCATTTTTTCATATTCAGACACTTGTTTTACAGAGCTTTCCATCTTCTTGACCTTGTATTTCCTCTTTTATCTTTTCAGGTCTTTGATCCATTTTTTTCTGAAACTGCAAGTTTAGTATCCAACTATTTAGTTAATTTAGTATTAAGTGTTTCAGCTAACTAACAGCCCAATTCTTCAAACATTTTCTGAAGTAAATATGTTGTAATTCCCTTTTCTGCAGGTTACTCTAGCAATCTTCTCCTTCCCCCTAATGTTTTTTGGCTGCTTTTCAGGTGGTTGCAATTGTAATATTGTAATCCAAAGTGAAAGTGGCTTAAATACAAGGGAAGGAATAAAAGTCAAGTTTCCCATTTTTCTCTTTTGGTGCCCATAATACTTTTATCTCCAAGTATTCTTCAAAGTGACAATCAGCATCAAAGTCTGGCTTATGTACTTATATTACACTTATCTTTTGCTTTGTAAAATCCACCATCTGCAATATTTAATAGTATACTCTGGTTTCTCTTCAGATCGTATAAATCTTTCGCCTTTTAATTCTAATTTATTCAAAAGCACTTTCACACACACAAAAATACTTCCAAAAACTCAAAAAATCCTTCTTGCTCCCCTTAAACTTTCTTAAATCCACTCTTTGTTAAGCTTTTTGCCAAAAGTTTTAAAATCTTTTATACACATTTTTCTTTTAATCCAGAAATCATGTTGACCCACAAAATGGAATTTTCTTATCCTGCTGCTCAGAAAGTTTATCCTTAGCTGTAAATTAATTACATCCCAATGGTTCTAAGAAAGTGAAGCTTGTGCAAACCTTGTATCCACATATGCTGTATTATAAGTGTAAACTTTGGTTGAAACCCCTGGCCTCCCAGCTGATCAACTCACAATTCAACTGCAAAAACTTCAGTTCCTGCGGTCTACTCACTAGGAGCAGCTGTGGAGTGCAAGTAGGTAAATCTCACAATTTCTGCTTATTCAAATAGAATTCACTATTTGGCTGCCAACATCCATTGCAATGCTATCCCTGCTCCTTCAGGGATATTTACTCTGCCATAGATTGTTACCGGAAACCACTTGCTCATAATTGTCTTGACTGTGTGCCTGGAACATGGGAAACTTTACAGAGAATTTGATATCTTAGCATTATCTACATTAATGGAAGAGGCTTTCCCACATTTGGATGGGAGTTTTGTACAGGCAAAATATAACTTCTGGACTTCTCTCTAGCTTGGGAGAAGCATATCAACACTTCCAGGAATCTGATTACCAAACTGTGCTGATTCAACACTAGGATGTTCCTACTGGCCTGTGATTCAGTTTCTGATATATATTGGACTAGGTGGATACCTGTGCTTCACTACAAAACTATGTGATCGGGCTTGATAAATTGACACTTACATCTTAAAAATTAGAGTAATTACGATCAGCCTCTCCTCTCACCTTCTCTCCCTCAGCCTTGCCCCACAGAAGCCTCCCCTATCCTATCCCCTTCTCTCCCTCAGGCTTGCCCCACAGAAGCCTGCCTTATCCTATCCCCTTCTCTCCCTCAGACAGGTCCCACAAAAGCCTCCCCTATCCTATCCCCTGCTTGCTGCTGTGAAAGTAAAACTGAAAGTGAAACTCCTCCCCTCTGCTTGTATTTTGCATTTGGAACAGATTTCTTTTCAGGTGGGGAGGAGTAGTAGAACTCCTTAGCATCAGAGCATGTTAATCATAATATAGGAAATGCTAATGCTCTGATGGTCATTTCGAAAAATCTGTTCTTAGTGAGCACCTAGAAGCCAAGAGGAACAGACATGGCAAATTTCAAGTTTGTAGGCTTTATGGTTCTGGAGATTTCGTGATTACAGCATGAGTGGTTTTCGCTTTTATATATATAGATTCTGGTAGCTCCCTTCCATATACAACAGAAAGTGCTTTACCCTCTTACCTTTCTCTTACGCTGTGCTGGATCTGATTTGCAGTCTTGATCTATGTGGGCTCCCACCACAATATCAGGCATTTCTCCTCGCTTCACAGGGATGGGTATACTGCACAGTGGACAAACAGGAACCTGTACATCCTAGGAAGATGATAGAGATTGGGTGACATGTATCCTTGATTCATGCATCATACAGCAGACAATGATGGCTTGTGGATATTTCAAATACTTCCATTACCTTCAAGATCATACCGTATAACTCTTTGTTTGATTATGAAAGCTGTAATAATAAAAAAGTTATCAGGTCACTTATTCAGAAACAAAGCAAATGCATTTATTTTATTTCATAAACAGCTCCAATTACACTAGAGTCTGAGTGATGACCAGCAAAAAAACCCAACATTATACAACAATAAGTCACCATCAACTTTATCTGGATCACAATGTTGCAGCATATAACCACAATCTAACTACACTTGTTCATAGTGTATCCTTCCAAGCAGGATAATCTTTGTTTCCTTCTCTGTTTTTCAGTTCATCTTTTCCAAGATCATTTAGCAGCTACTGGACATGCTGTTTTTTTTTTAAGTCTTTCAGTTTTTAGCAATCAAGTATTTGGTTTCTACAAAGCTAGGATTCCTTAAGTAACTCTTGTTTTTTCAGTAACTCTGGTTTGCCTTCAATGACGTTAGAACTCTCCTAGTTTGTTATTAAAGGGAGTGAAATTGCATTAGTATTTTTCTATAAAAATTTAACCCAATGGAGCAATTCCTGGAAATTTGACCAACAATGCATTCCAGTTATAAGACAACTGCTAACAAACTCTTTTTGCAGGCCATGTTTATAAAAACAATTTCTAGAAAGATACAAGGATTAAAGGACCAATAGCATTTATCTGAAATGTACCACAAAATGAAGAACTAACACAGATGAAAAGGTTTTGCACAGTGATCAGCTATTTTCTTATCTTAGGTTTCCTTATGTGGACATCCAATTTCACAAAATGGGTGATTTAGAATCACTAAGCTGAAGGAGCCATTTTAGCTACTGAGCACAGGAATCTAAGTTAAAGCAACCTCTGAAAATGACTACCTAGCCTCTGTTTTCTTCCAGCAGAAAGAACTTACCACCTCTTTGGGTAACTATTCAACTGTTTTATAGGTTTCCTTCCTCCCTTCCCTCCGTTCAATTACAATCTGCTTTCATATTATTTTAGAATCTGGAATCTCAAAAGACAGGACAACTTTCTATATGATATAGCTTTCCTTCTCTGCATTACTCTTCAAATGTGTTGTCTAGAACTGGATAACATAATTGTGGGGTATGCCTGATTAATGCAGAATGTTGTAGAGTTTTTTATTTCCTTGTTTCTGAAACTATATTACTCCTGACCCAGTCTAAAATTGTATTTGGCTTTTCAGCCTTCACACTAGAATGTTGGTTTGTAGTCACTTATAAGTTATTATTCCAAGACTCCTTTCATAAGGACTATTGTTAACCAAGTTAACCACCCTGCGGCTGTGCCTTTGTGCATCTATAAGCATCCTGCCTCATCTCCTCATTCAGGTCATTGATGAAAACATTCAGAATACATGATTCAACCTTGCGATACCACATTCAGTAATGTCATAGTGAGGAAATGTTCACAAGCACACTTTTCTCACTTCACTGTCATGCCATCCAACTTATACTGAATTAGTTCGTTAATCATAATGGGATGAGGTACTTGCCAAATACTTTGCTAAAATCAAGATACATTATCTATTTGGTATCGTCACATTCTATGACTGTAATGAAATTACCAGTCAAAAAATCAGTTAACCTGGCTAAATTTGCTCTGGACAACTCAATGCTGATTTCAGGTAATAACAAGCCACATTTCAAATAGCACAGCCTTCTTTATGCTGCTTCAACTGAGGTTGCAGAACGAACAGCTTCCATTGAGCAGAGGGTTTCTGCTCTTTTGTGCTTTATGCAAGATAGAATCACTATATTCTATGAGATTAGGAATAATTTGAGCCCTTCCAGTTTTACTTACCTTCTTGTATGCTGAAGTGCAGTTATGATGGGCATAGGCAATATGGTCAGTGCAGAATAGCTGTTCACAAGCATCACATTTCAAGGGAAGGAAGTCTGAGGGCAGGAAACAACAAGTAATGAAAAGCTGTAAATGTTTTCACTGCAACTTTTCCAATGACATTCTAGGCACTTTACTGGATGTAATGGTAGTAGTATTGTCAGGTTTATTTTAAAACGTACATGTCTTTTAAACAGACGAAGAGATTTGAACACAAAGAAGATACCATGGTAACTAATTTTGTAAACTGATTACAGATGGAATGTCTTGGATAAAAATATCAGAGAAACTGGAAAAAACACTCTCAAGATTTTGTTTCCTAACTTTCCCATCTAAAAAACAGCCTCATAAAAACAGTCTCATCAAATACTCCAGACTATTTTGTAATATACAGCAAAAACTAATGATTTATTCACATTTGTTCATACCATCATGTCTTCAAACAGAGGTGGATTAAAAAAAAATAGAATGCAATTAACCCTGGTTTGTTAGGAAACATGAGACAGATCATGTCAATAGTACAAAATTGTGACAGTCGAGCATAATTCCCTTGAAATGTTTCAGGAACCAATATTTTTTTAATTCTATAAACAGAGGAAATTTTCCTTCAGATATGGAGAGTCCTCCACTTTTACAATTTTCAATTATGAACTTATTTCCTAGTAAATAAAGCCACAATATCACTCCAAAGGGTTTACATTTCATATCAAGCAGAATCCTAAAGATCCAAATCTATGGACACAACCTCTTACCAGCAGTTTACTGAATGTTCTAACAGTCTATGTTAGAGTTAGGCATAAGATGTATGCTGGCACTCTGTATGGAATCTCTCCAATTTGAAGAATGCAACAATTTCTAATATCTATGTTGCATTCTTAATGCAGAGTGCTCTTTTAAGATGGCCAGCCTTATTTCATAGTTGGGAGTGAAATGAATACAGCAACTTGGTTCACAAGAGAGAATGCATATCTAATTAAAACAGAAAACAAAGGTCTGATTTCTTCTGGGAATAAAGCTTTTATCTTCACATTAAACATCAAAGCATCTGAGGACTCAAAGCTTTTAGCTAAACAATTGCCAAGAGTGCATCTCCATAGAGAAGGCCTGCTGATCTCTTTGTTTATGAAATAATTTCAAGTGTCATCACTTGGACCATCATTAATGTGGCAGTTGTTGCAATATGCTTTACTCCCATGCAGAACCATTAGAAAACATATAACCAAAGCTACAAAGTACTTAGAGCAATTATACTGACTTGTTTTTTAACCTTCAAAGTATTAACAAAACAATGAGTTCAGCAGGCCACCCCACCCTCCCCAAAAAATTCCATTCCCAGTCCACTCATAAGGTCAGAACAAAGCTGGAAGGGACCTTGGAGGTCTTCTAGTGCAACCCCCTACTCAAGCAGGAGACCCATCATTTCAGACAGTCTCTTCTTAAAAACCTACAGTGACGAGGCACCCACAACTTCTGAAGGCAAGCCGTTCCACTGGTTAATTGTCCTCACTGTTAAGAAGTTTCTTCTTAATTCTCACTCTGTCAAGCACCTTGGAGTACTCATATTTAAAGATCTAAGTGCCAGAGCCCACTGTAACAACATGGCCAAAAAGGCATTAATCTTGCTTCTTCTCTGGTAATATTGTACTACTAACTCGAGCATACAAAACATTTGCTAGACCAATTCTTGAATACAGCTCATCTGTCTGGAACCCGCACTGCATATCAGACATTAATACAATTGAAAGGGTCCAGAGATATTTTACAAGAAGAGTCCTCCATTCCTCTACCCCAGGGCTCCTCAAACTTTGCAGCTATGACTTATGGAGTTCAACTCCCAGAATTCTCCAGCCAGAATTCTGGGAGTTGAAGTCCACAAGTCTTAAAGCTGCCAAGTTTGAAGACCTCTGTTCTACCCGCAATAGAATACCTTATGCCACCAGACTTCAAATTTTAGGCTTAGACAATTTAGAACTACGCCACCTTCGGTCTGACCTAAGCATAGTGCATATAATTATCTGTTACAATGTCCTACCTGTGAATGACTTCTTCAGCTTCAACCACAATACACCAGCAAACAGTAGATACAAACTCAAGGTAAACCACTCGATTGCAGAAAATACGACTTCAACAACAGAGCGGTCAATACCTGGAATGCACTACCTGACTCTGCGGTTTCTTCCCCAAACCCCCAAAACTTTAACCTTAAACTCTCTACTGTTGACCTCATTCCTAAGACGTCTGTAAGGGGGCGTGCATAAGCGCACCAGCGTGCCTACCGCCCCTGTCCTAATGTCCCCTTTTATTCGTATCCATTTCATGTATTCATAATCACGTTTATACTTTTATCTGTTGTCTTACAATATGCTTGACAAATAAACAAAATAAAATTAATTCCAGGTTGCTTCTCTCTTTGATTAGTTCCACTGTTTCTTGTCTCACCCTCTGGTGCTTTGGAAAATAAGTTGATCCCCCTTTCTCTTTGTGGCAGCCCCTCAAACACTGCCACATCATGTCCGCCCCCCCCCTTTTAATCCTTCTTCTGAATCTCAGGAAGCATCTTCTCATAGAGTTGCTAAAAGAAAACGCGATCCGTACAAATTCCCCTAGTCGCCAGACTTCTAAGAAAAACCCACCTTTCCACGATGCATGGTACAATCTCGATTATAAGCCACGCTGCAGCCACTCGCTGGGGAAAAGAGTGGACGACCCTCCCCAAACCCCCAAAATCCGGCTTGCCAGCTTCCCCGTCCTTACCACGCATGGCTGGGAAAGAGTCCGGATCCTCACTCCGACCCCATTACCTGCCCTTCCCAAACTCCAGCCAAGAGATGAAGCGGGGTGGGGTCGGGTGGGAGGCAAATCTCCCCCCCCCCCACATATAGTTAAAGGCAAATCCTCACCCAGGCGCTTGCAGGAGGGCTCCGTGCAGTGGGCTCCTAGATCTGGGAACTCCATGAAGCTGCCAACGGGGTCGATTCCGGGAGTGGCGTGGGAGGATGAAGGCTACCTGGTGGGAAGAAGAGATTTACAACCCAGGGGTTCCGGGAGGGGGGAGAGAGCTGCAACACCCAGAAGGGGAAGAAGGGAGAATGGCGCTTGCTTCAAGTAATCTATTACAAGCGGCAGAGAGGAACAAAAAAAAAAAAAAAGGGGGGGGGGGAGGTTAGAAAGCCACTCTAGCCAATCATCCTCACCGTCTCTTCGCTGTAAAACTAGGAAACCTTCGCGCCTTTTGCCCCGCCCACTTCCGTCCCCAGCTGTGATGATGTCATGCCATATCAGGACCCTTAGGCGTCAAGAAACCTAAATCCCTACGACCCGGTGAAAATTTGGGATGGCCGTATTCCACAGCGGCATGCCGGGAAATGTAGTACGGATGTGACTTCGGTTCAGCCGCCGAAGTCTTCCCTTGGCTTGGCCTCTAAGGGCGCGCCAGTTAGAAACGAAGGCAAGGCGACACGGAAGGGCGCGGGGTACGATGGGAGTTGTAGTCATTAGCGGCACAGTCCCCGTCTTTTTTTTTTTTTTTTTTTAACGCGAGGAATTAACCGAGAATTCCGTCCGAGGTCGAGATCGCCCTTTAGGCAAAGAGGCCGAACGCTAGGAACAGCCATTGGCGGCATTCTAGTCCCGCCTTAGCCGGAAGTGTCTCTATGGTAACAGCAGGCGGATCGGGTTGGGCCGGAGGGGTTAAGCCAGCGCCTGCCCCGGAGCCGGTAAGTGTGTGCGGGCCCTGTAACCGCAGTCTTGGGTCACGGATCCGCTTTTCCTCCTTCCGCGGGATATTGAATTCCCGGAGCGCCTTTGGCCTGGAGGAGGCTGAAGCGCCCGGCTTTTAACCCCCAGTGGAACTGAGACCGTCTGAAACAACTAGTCTGAACTCCCTTTGGGGCGGATTTTATTGAATTCATTTATTATAAGCATTTATAGCGGGGCGGGAGGACCTTGCTGCTCTCCGAGCTCGGTTATTTTCCTGCAGACCTTTCATTATCCAAACTAGGTAACATTACCAGTCAGCTAGCCCTGATGATGTTACCTAGTTTGAGTCATGAAAGGGCTGCAAGAGAACAAGGGAGCTCGGGAAGCACCAAAGACCCTCCTCATTTCAACCCTGAGCTACAAATATTCTCCATTATTATTATTATTATTATTATTATTATTATTATTATTATTATTATTATTATATATTATTATTATTATTATTATTATTATTATTATTATATATTATTATTATTATTATTTTTAATTTGATTTATATGCCGCCCTTCTCCGGAGACTCAGGGCAGTTTACAATGCGTTAAGCAATAGCCTTCATACTTTTGTATATTTATACAAAGTCAGCTTATTGCCCCCACAAACTGGGTCCTCATTTAACCTACCTTAGAAAGGATGGAAGGCTGAGTCAACCTTGAGCCTTGGCGAGATTCGAACCCTGCAGTAATTGCAGGCAGCTGGTCTTAATAACCAGCTTAATAACAGGGTGCCTTAGACCCCTGTACTACCAAGGCTCTTTAGTACATTGATATAGAACCCCATAGGCTTATTTTCCTATAGGTCCAGCTTTTGGTTTCTTCCCAAGTGTTCCTTCCCTCCTTTTCTTGACGGAAGTTACAGTTCTGCATTTTAGGGTTACTGCATGGTAATTCGTAGCTTTTAAAATTTTTAAATCTTAAATTTGGATTGGTATTCCCATGTTTAACCATATTTATTGGATATTCTGTTTTAATTTGTCTTTTAACTTTTGTATTCTTTGTTTCTTATTGTTGTGAGCCACCCTGAGTCCTTTGGGAGAAGGGCGGCATACAAATCCAATAAATAAATAATTTGAGAGAGATTCATGTAAAAGGAATATCTGCCCGAATTTATATTGAGCAGGCCTTTGTTAAGTTCAGGATGGGGCATAATAATTATCTAAAAGGGAGAGAGGGGATTTATTTTTGACCCTTTTGAGGCAAATAACCATGCTGATTTGCCCTCAAAAAGTGTCAAAAATAAATCCCCTCCCCCCTTTTAGATAATTATTATGCCACCCTTTGCATCAGCAGTATGTGATTACCATTCACAGTAGAGTAATCCTTTTGTTGCAAGACAAACTTTACACATGGTAGGCAAGCTAGTTCATACAATACTGTGTTTCCCTAAAAATAAGACTAGGTCTTATATTAGTTTTTGCTCCAAAAGACAGACACATTAGGGCTTATTTTCTGATTAAGGCTTATTTTGGGGAAAATATGTTACTAAATGCATCCTGGCTAACAATCTTAACTGGGGCTTATTTTGGGGGTAGGTCTTATATTATTACGAGCATCCTGAAAAACCATGCTAGGGCTTAATTTCTGGTTGGGTCTTATTTTCGGGGAAACAGGGTAGGTATGAGAAAGATATAGGTGGAATGATTATACAAGCAAGCATTGTATCCATGGGACCTTTTATTCTATCATTTTAATAGGTGATATTATTCAACTTTATAGGCTTCTTCTTATCCATGGGGAGGAATTTTCTTTCATTATTTCAACTCTTGGTCATTTGTCATAATAGGCATCACTACTGATGTTCTCTTTTAGACATGGTGAAATAAAGCTGCTGAAATGAATGACTTGCCTAAGTACAGTACTTCCATAAATCGAGACTGAACTTTCTGTCTATATTTTCTTGGTCATTACTTTGTTCTTAATATTTTTTTTTTTGTCATTGAGGCAGACATTGATTTTTATTTGTTAATAGCTGCAATGTTTTATTTGGGGACATAGCTCAATATTTTAGGCCACTGTGGAAAATGTAGGTGCCTAATAAGAATTGAGAAAGTTAATGCAATTCTAAGTTACGTTAACAGAACCATAATATCAAAATCACAGTATTATTCCCCTCTACGTTTTAGTAAACAGACTGTGTCTGGCATAATTAATCCAGTTATGGACATCATATTTAAAGAACGTTGTCAAAATAGAGAATGTTTATAGGAAAATGACCAGGATGGTTAGGATCTGGAAACTAAGCCTTATGCAAAACCATTGAAGGAGAGAATCAGCTTACCTTGGAAATAATAGCATTTCTGAGACATGTTTCAAATCTGGAGCAGGTAAATGGTGAGTGCAGAATTAAAGAGGACTTGGCAAAACCCACTTTCCCCAACTTCTACTAATGGAAATCTCCACTTAATCAAAAGTCTCCACCGTCAAAGTGGATTCAATATGTAGTACTTTCAGGAAGAAAATAACACTGGTTTGATTAGGTCTCAAGTTCAAATTTTATTACTTGTTGTTTATTATCTGAGAAGTCACTAGACACAATATTAAGGCAACACTGCTCTTCTGATTCAATTCTGTGCAGTTGGTCTATGGTGGTATATTCCTTAGCTTAGAAACTTCAATCTGGGGAAAATGCAATGTGTTTGTGAATCGATTTATTGTATTAAGATAAATCTTTCCTGCCATATGCAACTGCTTCTAAAGCAGCACATTAAGGTAATAACTAAAAGCAATAGTTGGCAGATGGCCTCTCTGAGGAAAATATTTCATAGGCCACGAGTGCAGCTCATTAAAAAGGTAGCATCCAGGCAGAAGGTTTACAGAAATCAAAAAAGAAATGAATCTTGATGTTTATAGAGGCCCTTCATTTTGCTTGAGCCTAGAAGAAAATTCATTCATCTGTTAATTCATAGTGTTAACTCTTTTTAACTCACTCTTTTGAGTTATAGATGTCAAGGCGAGTTAGAACATGTTAAATGTTTACAATTTTTTATTTATTTTACAGTAGTACCAGGAAACAATTTGATTTTCACATAAATGGTTTGTATGTTAATGGAAACCATAGCATGAAATTGAAATGTCTGATTTTTTAATAGACTTTTAAGAAGGTCAGAAACTGCTACTTTAACTAACATTTTCCAAACTAACAGTTTTTGCCACCTTATCATTGTCATTATCTACTTCATAGGAATATTCAAACTATAATCTTTAATGTTTTCTCTATTTTCTGTAGTAGAATCTCAGCCTTATCAAGCAGTTGAAGATTAATTTTTAATACATTGGCACTGTATTGTGTATAGTGAGATTTTAGAGCTAGTTTGGTGTTGTGGTTACAGTGCTAGGCTAGAGACTTGAGGACTATAAGTTCTAGTCCTACCTTAGCTACAAATTCAGTTGGGTGATCTTGGACCAGTCACTCACTCTCAGTCCTAGGAAGAAGGCAAGGGCAAATGCCTTCCGAAAACCTTGCTAGGAAAACTGGAGGCACTGTTCCTGGTACTTGCCAAGAGTCAAAACAGACTCGAAGGTACCAAAAGAAAAAAAAAGGTGTTACCTTTAGTTCATACTAAAAAAAAAGCATTCCACCGTTTAAAATTAGCAGCAAAATTCATTTTTCTGGCAATGTTTCTGAAAGTTATTGAACGCACATATTGTCTAAAGCCACAATTTGGCTTGGTTGGTTTTGGTTTAATTGTAGTATGTATTCAACCGTTTTATAAGTAGTCCTCACTTACAACCGTTTGTTCATTTAGCAATTGTTCGAAGTTACAGTGGCACTGAAAAAAGTGACTTATGGCCAATGTGTGAGGACTCACACTTATGATCGTCATTGCATTCCCACAGTCATGTGATCAAAATATGGGCATTTGGCAACAAGCATATATTTATGATGGTTGCAGTGTCTCCGGGTCATGTGATTACCATTTGTGACTTTCTCAGCTGGCTTCAACAAGCAGAGTCAATAATGGAAGCTGGATTTGCTTAAAATATGTGATTCATTTAACAACTGCAGTGATTCATTTAACAACCATGGCAAAAAAAGGTTGTAAAATCAGGCACAACTCACTTAAGAATCACCTTACATAGCAATGGAAATTCTGGTCCTAATCATAATCATAATTCCAGGACTACCTGTAAATCATTTTAGATCAAGTCACAACATAGTCAAATATGTGAAGAGAAACAGCACCTGTTTGTGTGTAAATGAAGTACGGTAATAGAAGTAATGTATTTTTATTTTATATTTTTTAAACATCAGAAAAAAATAAGATCTACTAGTTTTATGTTTTAAAGAGCTACTAGTTCCACATTACGCAACTATGGTGGTTTAAATATGAAGTATCTTAAGTCCAGTAAGCATTTCTGATGATTATACTTTCCTTGGTGACATTCGTACTGGGTAGTTTTGACTGAGAATAATAGATGACAAATCAGATTTATTCCCATAATAAATTAGCCCAAATCTAAACCTGAAATTACTGGGTGTGTGTGTGTGTGTGTGTGTGTGTGTGTGTGTGTGTGTCTCATTTGTCAAAAAATGAGAACATTTCATATTGTCTTGTTTGGGAGAAGGCTTCAAAAAGAGGCTGGTTAATTTATTTTCAAAGCTTAGATAAAAGATACAATATGTAGAGGATAGGGTTTTCCCCTTTAAAAATTGTTTTGTTAGAGTGTCTTAGCGTTATTTCTAAAGGCACAGGAAGATATTGATAGGATTTTATACTTTAAATGCAAAAAGTATTTAACATTTTTGAATGGATATCTTACCAAATTGTGAATAGATCAAAGATAGATTGAGGAAATGATATACTTGGTGCAGTAGCTTGGCATCTGAAATCTTACTTATGCATATTTATTTAGAGTAACATCTTTGGTTTTCTAAATAAAGATTAATAGACTTGTTCATTCTCAACTAAATCCTTGGCAGTACTGCAATTCTGTTGTGTTGTTGAATGTAATACAGGGAGTTCTTGACTTATGACTACAGTTGGGAGCAGAAATTTGATCACTAAATGATGCATTCATTAAGTGAATGTTCAAATGTCTGGACTTGATTTTTAGCCATTTTTACTGTGGTTGTTAAGTGAATCACTCGGTTGTTAACCAAATCCAGGTCCCCCCATTGATTTTGCTTGTCAGAAGCTGTCTAGGAAGATCCAAAATTGTGATCATGTGACTACAAGTGGTTGCAATCATCATAAATGCAAACTGGTTGCCAAGTACCCAAATTGCAATTGTGTGACTGCACGGATAGTGTGATGGTTGCAACTTCGAGGAACTTTGAATTGTTCTTAAACAATTATAAGTCGAGGACTACTTTCCTTTTAGCTTTTCCTTTTACATAAACATAGGTAGAGATGCAAAAATGATAGATGAATTTATATGCTATGTTTTATCATAGTGATAGCAGGGCCAGCATGTGGTATTGTAAAAAAATGGGGTTTGGGTAGTGATGGAATTTTATGTATCATTTTAGTGAAGGATCTTAACAAAGATAGATGAACTTGGTAAGTAGACGTATCCTCAGAATCCCAAATTAAAGCTACCTGATTGGGATGAATTTGAAAGCAGGAGCAACTGAATTGAAGTAGTTACTCCTAAAGAAGGTTGAAATTTAAAACAACATTTTGGAAAATATTTTAACAGGAGGTCCCAAAGCAGTGGTAATGGCAAAAATAAGTGCATTCCTCCCTCAGTTTTCAACAGAACAGAAAATTCTTAAAGGAATAGTGATGAAGGAGAGCAGAGAGATGTGATTATGAGTGGTAATTGTAGTCCTCCGTCATAAGGTTCAGTAACAATGCTTTGTCTATATACTGTATGTGGTAACAATATGTCTAAGTCAGCATTCAGTGCTTTTGGTAGCTTGTCATGTGAGCAGAGTGGTATCTTTGGGATCTAGGAGAATGCATCATTGAGTACACACTTTAAAAAAGCTGTTTGTTCAAGCCTTTTTATCTCTGCTACTGTTGGCACCAATTAAACAAAAGCCTTGTATAAGGAGTCCACAGCTCTAACTTTTACAACTACCTTCTGAAATATTTCAGGAATCATGCTTAGGGAGGGACATCTCTGTTTTTGCTATAATTTGCAGAACAAGAAAACGGGGGAATGTGATAAAACCCCTCTGGACCTATTTAAGATTGGAATGATTAATATCTTCAGGAGAGTTAATTTCTGAAGAGTTAATAATTGATATTAAGAGTTACTAGCTAATACCTTTAGAAGAGTTAATTTAACCCAATTTAATTTAATTTGATTTAAATCTGTTTCTACCAAAACATTTTAAAGGTGATTTCCTTTAAAGAAATAAAAATGTAAAACAGACAACTTCCCGCCATTGATTACAAATCATCCCCTTCTTGTGTTATTATTATATCTTTAAAATTGTTCAGTTCTTTTTTAATACATTCCAAGTTTGCAAATAGAGTTTAGGAGTATTTCCTACCTTTAATTTCCTGAAAAAGGTGATCTCCCTCTTATGGATAGTCCTTTTGTTCATATTCATAAATGATTAGACACAATGCCTATTTTTAATCTACTGGCTGCCTAATTTTTATTTAATCTCCATCTTCTGTTTTGACACCCATTACAAATCTACATTTTCAGTATGATGTGTACAAAATGGAAAACAAGTTTTCAGAAGTTTTTTTAAAATTATTAAAGTTTACAAATACAAAGATAAAAGATTAAGATTTAAAAAGGAAAGAAGGAAAAAAGTGCAAAAAGAGAAAAAAAAAGATGCATAAAAGATGACTCCCCCCTCTTCCAGACAATAAAAAAATATTTCCATATCTTACCCCCTAATCAATAACCAAATGGTAAAACTCATCATTCAATCTTAATCAACAGAAGATTTATTAAGAGTTACTAGAAATAGTAACATATTTTAACTTTAATCAAATCTATTTTGTATTCCAAATTCTCATTTTCTCTGAGAAATAAAGCAAAACAAGTCTTTCACCATTTCTAAACAAATTTTAAAGCTTCATCATTCAGTCCTGATTAAACAAAAATCTATTAATAGCTACCAGAAACCACAACATATATATTTTAACCCTGGTCAAATAAATCTGCTTTATATTCCTTTCATTTCCTTTTTAAAAGTTTAATCTTTAATCCCATTAGTTGATTTCTGATCATTTTTTCTTTGTCTCCTTTCAGGAACAGTTTCAGTAGTTTAACATGTCCCTTGTGTAATAAGAAGGCTTTCCAAAGTATTCTTCTGATTTATTATTTGTATAGCCCCCTTAGTTATTAAGACATCAGGTGATTTCATATGGAAATCCAGTTTTTGATATCATTTTTCATATCACTCTTATAAATCTGTCATTTTTAAAATCTATTTTCAGACACTCTATATTGTATCTTTTCCCATATCCCTCTTCTGGTCTGATTCCTGTAGTCTTGTAATCATACTATTCTCAAGTATGCAAGCTTTTGGCTGATGGCCAATAAACCTTGATTGGTTTGGAATTGGAGGTTTAAGGGACTTCTACTGAGTAATGTATTGAGCTATTCAGTGGCTCTTTTGGAAGAGGTCAATAGATGTAGCCCATTCCAGTAGTATGCAACCAGTAGAGAACTTATTCTAGAATGTTAGTGTTGACAGTTGTTTTGACATAAAAAGCAGTTTGCTTGGGATGGTTATTGAAGCCTATCATGAGATCAAAGGTTGCTCTTTTCAACAAGAACTTAAAAGCTAAATTTTGATGGAGATAAGATTCCTGAAATGAGGCAATACAATATTTTGTGAAAAAGATTTGACTCCAGTGACCTTCCATATTTTATGTGTTGAAGATTATTTGTCTGTTGAAAGACCTTGAAGGGCAGCAGTTTTATACGGAAATAGATATGAAGACACTCCACTATATCAATATGTATCTTCCTTTTAATATATATGCTATGATGAATCTCTCCAACAAATTTATTAATTTATAACATCTTAAAAAATTACCAGGTAAAATGAAGCTGTGAAAGAGAAAATACATTCTCCATTAGCTGCATCATATTGATAGCTGCAATTATGAGAATGGAATTTAACTTTGTTTATGCCTCCCTCCTTCTGCCTTTCTTGGCACATGATACAAGGGGCTGCATGCCATTGCATCGGGAGGCATCCACACAGAAGGAACATCCAGGCTGTCATTGTTAATCTTAGAATCAGTTTTTCTCTAAGTGCAAACAAATGGAAAAGCAGGAGATGACTAATTGTTTTAAAGAAGATGCATTAGCCAACAGTACAGTATTCTGAAAAATTAGCCCCATTTTGATACTGCTTTGATTATCAAAATGTCAGCTAATAATTATCAGCACGTAGAGCCTTCTCATGCAATATGGACATGCTTTTGGGGATATCTCTGATTTTTCAAATCACATATTTGTTAGGCATAGTGAGAGTAGATTAGAGGATTAATATTGCTTGAATATATACATTTACCTTTTTACAAATGAACAAACACTGCACTCGTATGTGCTGTATCCCAGCTGTGTCATAACAACTTCGTAGAGGAAATATTGACTGGTTAGCCAAGGGTAGGAACTTTAGGCTTGACCAAAATGTTAAGCCATCATGTGAGTTAGTTTAGCATGATATGTAAAGTTGAATTTATTTATCATAGTTTAATACTACCTGTTGAGTAACGTCTTTGTGGCATATTCAGATGACCAGGTATTGTTTTTTTAAAAGCCCATCTTTGTTATATGAGAATGGAGCTTATAATTAGCATCTAAATGTTGGAGCTGATGTTGATCAATTGGGAACCACTGTCATATTACTGAGTACCCGTCTTTCAAAAGTCATAAAAATAATAAGTTATAGATAAACTGTGACTGGCAGAATATGAAACCAGGAATCAAATACTTAGAAATGGGAAAGCCAGTTGTTGTTGTTTTACCTCATAAACAATATTGAAGATGTTACAGCACATTGTCTTATGGAAATAAGCACACTTTGACTTTTTTTCCCAAAACCTTCCTGAAACTTCTATTTATTTCAGCAGGTTTTGTGAACAATAGCCTGTGATACTGGTTCATGGTTTGCTTGTTCCTTAATCACCGTAACAATGAAAATGATGCCATCATTGATGTTTTCCTCTTGATCAGCTCAACATTTTCATATTATCTGTGCTGTTTTGTTTTCAGGCTGGCCATAGTAAAAATGCTGCTCTGACCGAATCCTGTTCAAAAGCTGTGATCATTGAAGGTGTGGGATGGCTCTACATGGCCTCAGCAGGGCCAGAAGCCTATAGCCTAAACCTCAAAAAAAGAAGCAAGTTCCAGGTGGGCATTTCACCAGGGCTGTCAGTGCCACCGCTCACAGCAAAGCTCCACAAGAGCAAGTCGTGGTACCTTGCTAAGCAGCAGGTGAAGCCTGTTTGGCAGCTGGAACAAAATCATGTGACCACTTCGCAAGACAAATGCTCAGTCCACTCAGGGATCTCTTCCCAGCATCCCCGCCTCTTATATCCAGAGTCGTTATGTAGAGAGGCAGTGCTCCTGAGCCCGCCTACAGCTCAGTCATATTCTCTCCCAAACTTCCTTGGGAGCACACTACTTTATCGACGATCTTACTTTAGACACAAGCCCTATCGGAAACTTGAGTCCATCTGCTTGCAGCCTAGTACCTTGGAGAAGAAACCTCTTCGTGTCCCACCTCCCATCTATCGTTCTGTCCTCAATAACACCATGTCGTCTTCCACGGTGGATCCATTTCTTATGCCAAGCACAGCTGGGGAGCGTTCCAATCCAGTGTCAAAGGGTTTTCTCCTCAATTCAGGGAAGCAAGCCTCCAGTGCATATAGACCAGTCCTAAACAATAACTCTTTCCTGAGGCCAGCTAGTGCAAAAGTGCCTTTGCAGCAGCAGCAGCAGCAGCAGCAACCGCTACCACCAGAAAGTAAGAAGCTGAAAGGATTGTCAAGACCTCCAGGATTTTCTTGGACCCATTCTGGGGGAAATGGGGATGGTTGCCCTATGAATCTTGAAAAGAAACTTGGAAAAAACAGCAACTCAACTTTTGAGCAAACCTGTGCCAAATCTCCTCGCTCACCTGTACACAACGGCATGGTTCTTAAATCAGAACGATCACTGTGGCCCCTTGAGGATGGCGAGACTAGATCCCAGAATCTGAAAGAACAAGATGCACGGTTGACAGAAGCCATGAGGAAACTAACAGCAAGCGGTATCCGGAAAGTTAGTACTTACAGTGAGTTTGGTCACCGCATTGATAGCTCTTGCCTTATGAATGCCAGCTTCCATGCCAATCTGTTCAATCGGTGGAAACCACATATTGTAGCCCAGATAACCCCAAAGGAAGTGCCAGTTCCTAGCTCCCTGAATTTAGAACCCGGTAGCCGCCATCACAGCCTTATAAGCACAGAAGTTGCCGATGTCTGCACTAAGCGTATTGACGCACGTTTCCTCACCTCAAATTCCGAAATGCCGAACCATAGCATCTTGAATCAAATGGTCCCAACCCCTGTGAACATCACAGAACAGGTGATAACAGCAGAAGTGTCCCCACGAATGACAATCTCTGAGGTAGAAACAAAAATTTCCACTCTTCAGTTAAGCATGGAAGCAAAGTGGGGGCAGCCTACTACTATGAAAGAGTCTGAGTAAGTATCGTAGCCTCCTTCTCTTTGTTATATAGGGATAGTGTTCTTTTTCAGGATTGTTATAAGCTATCAATTATTTGTATTGGATGTTTCTCTTTACTGCATGATGCTGGATGAAAACAGGGTCTATAACAGGGGTGTCAAACTCGCGGCCCACAGGCCGGATGCTTCACATGCTGGCCACACCCATCCTCATTTTAGTGAAAGCGAAAAAGTTGTGATACATCATGTGATGACAATGTGACGACGCGAGTTTGACACCCCTGGTCTATAATATCCCATTTCTGTTATTGTTACATGTGTGTCTCACAACCCAACCTAGTGCTCCCTATTAAGTTGGGGCTACACATCCCGTATTTCTAGGAATTTTAATGTCAGGTCATCCTAGAGGGTACTAGATTGCAGAATGGTGTCCTAATTTAAACCCAGGTACAGTATTGGGTTCTACTGTATCTTTTGGTGTATGTTTTGTTTTGAGGAATTTATATCAGTATAGAAAATGGACAGATAGGTGAAACTGCATCTAATCCTGAGAATATGATATGTTACATACTTAATTCTACCTTGTAAATAAATAGCAGCCATGGGAGGAGAAGGTGGTCTTTTGAGTGGGGGGAATGCCCTAACTTCATTTGCTCTTGTCTGGGAATTATTCAGGCCACTGAGATGGAATTGTTTTAGTTTTCTTCATTAACCGGATTACAGGAATAAATATAAACTACTCAGAAGGTTTCACTTGGTCACAATAAATCTTTGTATTGTAGATCTGTCGTCAATCTTCCCCTGCTAGATCAAGCAGAAGTAGAAGATGTGGAAGAAGAACTTCCGGATGGCTTGGAAGATGCTTGCAGTCAGGATGAGGAAGGAGAAGAGGAAGATGGGGAAGGTCATTAATGTTTATTTATGTTCCTTCTTTTGAGTGCAAACTTTTAATAATGTGATAAGCCAGAGAAATAAGAATGTTGATGTACTGATTATATCCAAGGACTACAGATTCTAATTACTAAGATTTCAGAACAACTGAGATCTAATAAAAAGTTAAAATTATTATCATCATAATAGTAATCTTTACAGTTGGATATCACATACATATTAATCCATAATATAATAAGAGAGGCAGAAATTAATAAAAGAATTAATGAGATACGTTACGGCCATAATTACCACTAGCTTGAGTTTATCTTTAAAGTGTAGATAATTTGATCTACTTGTGAAGATTTCTTTCTTGCAATATCTAATTAGTTGTGCTCTAAAGAAAATAATGTGCAGGCTTGATTTGCATTTTAATGATGTATTCTGATGCGGTACTGAGTAAATTATTTTCTTTTATTCAAAGCCCAAGTTGCCTTTAATCAACTGTATCAAAGCTGGCCAGTGTGAATTAATGTTCTTTTTCATTTCAGGTGAATCAGATGGTTCCTCATCATCCAGTTTATCTGCCAATGGTTCTGTTGCTGTCATATCTAGGTTAGTGCCAGACATGAATTATTCTGCTTTCAGTCCATAATAGTAAATGAAGAGTATCTGAGTTAAACTTGATTTCGTGAACTTATCCATGTACCCGATCCGGACTTAGATAAACCCAAATGATGGATACGTGCATGTTTTGTTTACTTGCTGAATCTCAACTTAAACAAGTTGTGTTTTCACAAAAAAAAAAAAAATGGGGCTGCTAAGTAGATGGGTTGAAAAATTGCTTAGATTCCTTTGTTTTCTAACCCAGTACTTCTCAGCCAAAACAAAACTCACATTTTTGATTAATGTTAGTTAAAGGCCATGGCAATTAAATAAAACTCTGTCGACTAGCAACAGGAACGGAAGAAAGATATTGTACTGCTGGCTTTCCCAAGACTGCTTACCGGTAGTATATATTTTGGCTTCTTTTCTGTTGTAGCCATATAATTAGGCAAAATCTGTTTCTTTTTTTAGGACTTGTGTTGAGGGATTAGTGCCTCCACTTGAGGGCCAAGAGCGAATTATCAAGCCAGCTCTTACACAAAGCCTCTTCCCCAGTGTGTCTTCTACCATATATTTTGGAACCCGGGATGAGAGAGGTAAGGTGAATCCATTGCAAGTAGTATTCGGGGCCAAAGATATTGATGGTGGTGTAAAGATCGGAGCTTACAACAGAGTAATAAGATGAAGAGGAGAGGGATATTTAATTCTATATATGCTTACATAGGTGGAGCTATAGATTCCTGAGAACACTGAAGCGAATGCTGCTAGGAATGCTAATTCTTATATGTATTTACCAAGCCCAGAAAATGGAGTCATTTTATTCTCCTCCTTGATCCTGTCCCAAGATAGGCTGAATAAGTCACAGATTTATTTGCAGCAGTAATGGGCACATTTGTGTTTTGCTCTGCTAAGCCTGGGTGTTTTCATAGTCATCACAGCAGCCCATCCTAAATGCTACTTTTGTACATGCTTCTTGCTATGGCAGCAATATCTCTGTGTGGTCCACTTTCTACTCTTTCTCAGTATTCTGCCGCCTCATAACCCAGTCCCGGTAATCTGACCCACAACAGAGAATGTAGAGGGTTTCAGAAAATAATACAGTAACACATTATAATCCAGTTTAAGATTATTGTTAAAATGCAGGGCCTTAGTAACCTCCTAAGTAGCTCCTAAGTATTAAAACAATTTTGTGATCAATATTGAGATTAATTTCACAAAAGCCATTTTTTAAAATTGCCTTTTCAAATTTTGTTATGCAGTCATTTGGTTCCAGAGAATTGGCGCTAGATAGGAAAGCCCACAATTGTGGTGTAGCTCTTTTATTACCAGAAAGAGCTCGTGCACTCTGGTCTAAAGTTTGGGTTGATTGCCAAACTCCAAGCAGATTTTCCAAGGCCCAGTGAATTAACACGAGCAGTATAAACTGGTATCTTTTACAAATATCCAGTTAATGTAAGAATTGGCAAGAGAATGATTTGTTTGTGGAAAGTTCAGGATATTGTGAATTGCATGCAGGTTGGGGAATAGAGAGCAAGGAATTTAGCATAACAGATGAGAGAGAATAAAATAGTCTTTTCTAAACAGATTGGCATGATCTGACAGCTATTTCTTCTCTATTCCCCTCTCCCAGGTTACAAATGATTCTAATGATTCATTGCTAGAGATATCTTATCTATTCTAGGAAAAGAGAGGAAATGTTACATTCCAATCTCTCTTTCTCTCTCTCCCTCTCCCCCCGCCCTCTCACTCTGCTTCTAAGACTGAGAACCATTAGACTATAGATACAGTATGCAATGGAAATTCTTTGAAGGGCATCTCCTCCATTTTATAGTTTTGGTCTCTTTACTCCATGACAAAAGACTATTTTCTCCAAGACATTTCCTGCTGTTTTCTTCATGGCAAATTGATTTTTGAGAAATGGGTATTTCTTGGGTTTGATAGTTTTGTTTTGGGGATCTACTTCTTAGTGGAGAAGCTTCCTTGGGAACAGAGGAAGATGCTGCGATGGAAAATGAGTACAGTGACTCCAAACATTGTGAAGCAAACGATCGCCAGGTCCCATTTCAAAATCAGCAGAAGTGAGTCTTCTTCAAGCTGGGAATGATTTGTGGGTCATTCCAATTTCATGGAATCTTTCTCCCAAGTTACATGAATTTGCAAAATTCCATAGAGTTACTGTGGGATAACGTTGGTTAAAAACATGTAATTTTTAAGAATTTAGATTTCACTCACGTAGTGTTCTAATTGTGGCTGTTGCACAGCTCTTGTCCAAGTGTTAAGGAAGCTTTCAGTTTGTTCTGCCTAACTGTATCCCTTTGGTCAGTTTTTGTTGGAGTATTTCTGCCCCAAGATTCTGATGTTTTGTATTCAACTTCAAACCATATGCTACCATATGTTGTGGGATTAAAACAGCTGGAAAAGAGATTAAATAAAAGAATAAAAGGAGGTTCAAAAATGAAGTAAGTTTTCCATGATTTAGCAATTCTTGTCATACTTGGTATATATATACTGACTGATTAACCAATGCTCTGTGTGCAATAATACAGAGTTCTAATGGCCCTTTTCAATGGACATAGTTAGATAAGAAGTGGGAATCTGTTAGAAAACAAACATAATTGTCACGTGGCATTGGCTATGCTGCTGTGTTATAATTTTGTTATAATATGAAAATGTTCTTGGATCAGGTGGAAGCGGGAAAATATTCCAAATTTATATTTCATAAATTGGAAAGTATTATATTTAAATTATCTGAGCATAGTATAGAAAAAGTGATTATTTTTTTTTGTTCAGATAATTTTCTCATAATTGCCCATAGGAAATAATGACTGGCTGGGCTGCTGGGGCCATCATATGAAGTCACCTGGCTTCAGAATTGTCAAAGAACACCAGAAGGTATGTGATATGATCAGAGTGCACATGAATATGTAGAACAACAAAATTCAGTGTAGAGACAGAAGGTGTAATTTCTTACATCTTCTCTCTAGTCCTCCCTGTCCTGCAGAAAACCTTTCCATACAGCCAGATTTTTGCTGCAGTATTTCCCACCCCTCTTCATGGGTTGTTCTTAATGGCTGCACTTTTAAAAGAGGCCTACAAGTCTTCATGGTGTAATAATTGGTTCACACAGTGTGCTTAACAAAGACATTTAAGGGTCCAATGTGTGAATCCTGTAACCCATTAAATATTGGAATAGGTGAAGGGCAGCTTGAACAACAACAATCAGGTTCTCTTCATCTGTGTAACTGTTGTGGAAACCTAAATCTCAGTCGCCTGTGGTTTCCAAAAGTTTCCCATTAGTCCTTCAAGAAGTAAGATGGAGGTTTGAAGCAGCTGGAATGTAAATTGCTTGGTTATGAAATCCAGTACTGTACCAAGGTTTGTCAGCCCAGTACACGTGTTCGAAGCACTGATTGGCTGCAATATTCAAACTGTTTCTACTGCAGTCTGACTGGCCAGTAGGGAAGAGACCATTGATATAATGAACCCCTTGCCAAGTACAATCTTGTAGAGAGCTCATGGGATACAGGTAATCTTTGAGTTATGACTACTTGTTCAGCAACTATTCAAAGTTATGATAGCACTGAACAAGGGGAACTTATGATTGGTCCTCGAAGATGTGGCCATTGCAGTGTCCCTGCAGTCATGTAATCACCATTTGCGACCTTCCCTGCTGGCTTCCCACAAGCAAAGTCAATGGGGAAGCTGGCAAGAGATCGCAAGTGGTTCCCATTCCTGCTGCTTTTTCGCCTACACTCTGTAGTGCCTGCCTCCAGTGCCCACCCACCTGTAGTACTTACTTATCTGCCTGCACTCCATAGTGCCTGCCTGCAGCACCCACTCCCCATGCTCTAGCTCCTGCTTGTGGTGTGCAACCAACTGCCCGTAGCTCTCACCCACTGGCCTGCTTGCTGGGACTCCCACCTTGTCTGGCATCATGATCATATGATGTCCTTGCTTAATGACCTGTGCAGTCCTATGGATACAACAGCAACTGGGACTGCTGGAATTGCTATTGCTAAGCGATGCAGTCATGTGACATTGTGCTTTTTACCCAAATCGCTTAGCAATGGAAATTCCAGTCCCAATTGCCATTGCAATCTGAGGACTGCCTGTCCTGAGCAGGGCTGGAGGAAGTGGACAGAGATTCTGTAGCCCCCAGAATGATGGGACTTGATCTGGTTAGGATAACCAGATGTGCATTGGCAGATTCAAAATTAATTTATTATGGTTGGGTTAAGCCGCTGGCTAGGCTTAGTGCCTTTTGTGAATTCAACCATTGTGATAGATGTACCAGCAATGGTCTCTATCTGTAGGAGATGCAATTCATAGATTTGGGCTTGTACAAATGGTATTCAAACAAATGTAACAGAATTTGGGGAGATGGTACCAGCCAGAGGTGACTGGGGCCTTCTTACTCTGTTATTCCTCCTCATTTCCTATCTACAGTTGAACCACTTTCCTGGCTCATTCCAAATTGGTCGGAAAGACCGTCTGTGGAGAAATGTGTCCAAAATGCAAGTGCGCTTTGGGAAAAAGGAGTTCAACTTTCTGCCCCAGTCTTTCATCCTCCCTCAAGATATCAAGCTGCTCAGGAAAGCTTGGGAAGATTGTGCGGGTCGTCAGAAATGGATTGTGAAGCCGGTGAGGGTGCAGAGATGGTCTGATTCAAATATGGATAGGGCATGCTCTTTCAGCTTTTTGCTTTGGTCCAACTATGTGGCTCCCTGCCTTATCCCAGCATGCAAACTTCTGCTCCACATTCTGTCTAGGATTTGCACTTGATAGATTTCTTTATGTATGTTAGTGATTGGGTTACAGTGTTGAATGTTGTTAGTGAAGAGATTAGACCTTAAGCATGTAAAAAAAGAAAGGTGAGCATCACAATGGAAAGAGACAGGATAGTTGTAAAATATTAAACAAATGCTGACTTTTGAGCACTTAGTGACATGCAAAGCCTGCTTTTAACACTTCCCCCTCTCCATATTTTTAAGGGTATTTGATGCCTTGTTCTCCGTTTTCTAAAGTTTTTCTTAAATTTATGCTTATTCTTAAAGTTGTGCATTTGTACTAACTAGGTTATATAGTGTAGAATAACTGCAGCCGCATAGGTTTTAGATTATACAGGCTACCCAGCTAATTATCCAGTGATCCCCAAAGGTTTCCCAAAGCTGTTGTACTCCATTATGGGATAATGCAACGCCTACTCATGCAGCCATTTTACATTGTTTTTCTATTGCATCTGCTTTCATCATTGAAACAAACCATATACACTTTTTAAAAAATACTGTAAAATTATTTGAAGGCTGCACTAGGAATTTATTTAGGACCAGCAGTATAAACATAAGGGTACTTGCATATGGCAGCATGTAGTGGACCTTGGCTGGTCTCAGAAAACATAAGCAAGTTTACACTTAATTAGTCCATAGATTGGAAACCACCAGGAAAACCCAAAACTGTAGACTACACTGAGAAGTTAAAAAAACTTTCTGGAAGTAAGTAGGAGCGGTTTCTACGTTGTTGCTAACAAATCATGAACATGTCTGTGTAATCATCAGGAGTTGGGTCTAATATGAGGGAGAGTTGACTTTTTATTTTTGTGTACTATTGTTAGATTTCCAGATCTCCCCCCCACCCCCCGATTTTTCAGTTTTGAACTGCAGCATAACAGTGTATGGTTATGTACTTCTCTCTCTCTCTCTCTCTTAGCCAGCTTCTGCTAGAGGCATTGGAATACAAGTCATCCATAAATGGAGCCAGTTGCCCAAGCGTAGACCATTACTGGTGCAAAGGTAAGCCAGATTTTCCTTACAACCTGTGGTGAAGTGATTCCCCCTTCTCCTGCAAATGAGGTAATAGGCTACATCAAGGAGACATATATATCGAACATGTTACCTGCAACTGTAAAATCCATAGTGTTCTGTGAAGATGGTTTTTTTTTGCCTTCAGTGAAAAAGCAAAGCAGTCATGGAATGGCTATTGTTAGTGCACCAAAGTGTCTTCTGAAATTAGCTTGGAGATTATGTTTTTCTGTGATGTGGAATGGTATTTTCTGAAAATTTAATCAGGGGTGTCTCAAATGCTATAGGAGAGAAGCCAACTTTCAGTTCTCTCAGTGATGGTAAAGAATGAAGTATAGTGACAGTCTTAAGGCTTGTTCTTCTGGAATGAGCTTCCTTGTAGCACACTGTCTCTTTTCCTCTACCAGATATATACATAAGCCCTACCTCATTGGTGGAAGTAAGTTTGACCTAAGGATTTATGTTTACGTGACCTGCTATGATCCCCTACGTGTCTACTTGTTCAAAGATGGACTTGTTCGTTTTGCCAGCTGCAAGTAAGTTCCTCAGGAATTGGTTTCCTGTAAAAGGATTGCAAAAAACATAAGTAAGATGACCAGGATTGCAACATGCTGGAACATGATCTAAAATTACCTTTCTCAGTTCCTTAATTGCGGATTAACATAATATATTCTTTTTTTTAAAATAGCCACCTGTTATTCAGAGCATGTGGCATTCTGTAGCCATATCTTGATTTAAGCCAAATATGGGAAGTTTGCGGTTCTCTAAATATTGCTGAACTACCAGCTAGCATGAGCAATGGTGAGAGATGCTGATAGTTCTAGTTCAGGATGGCCACCATTTCCCACAGTTCTTCAGATAAACAATGAGCATTAAATACCTATTACAGATATCTATCACTTATGGCCTATCTCTTATGGCCATAATGGAGCCCGCCCATCATGGTCACGAGTTGTGACAGTTAAGCAAGGAGCCCATTTGATCACCTTGCTTAACAACCCCCATCCATGTTCTGCTTGATGTGGTTATTAAGTGGAGCACGGGGTCCCTCAGAGGTGTGAGAGGCCTTGGGATTCCAAGGTCTCCCCCACCCCTGAGGCACGTTGTGCTCTTCTACCTGTCCCTCAGGGATCCCTAAGGCCTTGGGCCTACTTCTCACCCCTCTATGTCCCATAGCAAGGGAGTAGCTGCAATGGAGATCACGGTAGGAAGGAAAGCAGGCCTGCTGCCCCTTGGCAGCCCTGCAAGCTGTGTGGCTCCATTCCAGAAGCAGGTGCCATTTCAGAGCAACTGCAATCAATTTCTGAGTGGAGCCACTCAACGTCCACTGTGTAGGAAGGCTGTGCAGTCCAGCAGCTGCTTCCAGAAGGAAATCAACAATAAAAAGTAAATGAATGATCAGTGACAAGGTGCCGAAGTAGCACAGTGGTTAGAGTGCTACTTCAGCTACTGCAGCTACTTCAGCTGACTGCTAGTTCAGCAGATCAGCGGATCAAATCTCACCGGCTCAAGGTTGACTCAGCCTTCCATCCTTCCGAGGTGGGTAAAATGAGGACCCAGATTGCTAGGGGGTAATATGCTATTTAGTATACTGTCTTTGGTGTAAGCCGCCCAGAGTCCTCGGAGAGTGGGCGGCATAGAAATACGACAAATAAATAAATAAATAAATAAAGATAGGTGGCAGGGAGGAGGTGTGATCAAGTGGAATGGGAAGCAGGCCTGGGGCGGTGACGGGGGGGGGAGTGCTGCAGTATTTCTGTGGTCGGTTGTAAAAGGGGGCTTGTCAAAACAGCTTTGTTTACGTGACCATAGGGGCGCTGCAGCAGTTGTAACTTCAAAACTGAGTCATGTGAAGACTTGGGGAGGTTCATTGTAACTTGGGTTGCTAAGTGATTGCTTGTAAATTGAAGTCTACCTGTAATTGGTACTACTATGTAGCTATGGCTGTAGGGCCATAGGCAATCTTTTTCTCAGTAGTCAATCCTGACACTAAATCAGTATTTTAAACCAGTTCTATTACCTTTTATTATGTTCACTGCAGGTACTCTTCTTCCATGAAAAGTCTCAACAACAAGTACATGCACTTAACAAATTATAGCATCAACAAGAAAAACGTAGAATACAAGTCTAATGCAGATGAAACTGCATGCCAGGGCCATAAGTGGTGAGTGTCAGGAGACATGAAGGAGAAGTATGTTACGGGCATTCTGTTGTTTGAGGCCTCTGAGCAGCAGCAGCTGCTTCATCTCAATAGTACTGAGTGATCTTTTTGTTGATAGGCAAGAGGTGAACTCTGTCTTTTATTCAGTAGGGTATGGACTATATTGCCTCCCCCCCCCCTATTAACAATGGAAATCTAAGGTAATGATTTCATTTGGTGTAATGTTCATTTGTTTACATGCTGTGCTCTATCTATACAGGGCACTGAAGGCACTTTGGAACTATTTGACCCAGAAAGGAGTTGATAGTGAAGCTATTTGGGAGAAGATAAAAGATATTGTTGTCAAAACCATCATTGCGTAAGTCATGGGATGTTCTTCTGCCTCCTTTTTGTCTTTTTTTCCCAGCCTTTCAATTAAATAGCTATCTGTTGAGACTTGCTTATGAGCACATGGATCTGTTGACATAATTCATCTTATCTTCAGGGCTCAAACGATCACACTGTACTTTTACTTTATTGAAGTTAACTGATATTGTCCCATCGTAATCTTAGTAGTGTGAATTAAGAGGAGATCCATGAAAACCCATTCAATGAGATCATCATCTCACCCACAAGAAAAAGACACTTTGGTTTTGGGAGTGACTTGTTCTACATACATAGATAAGTGATTCATAATATAGCAGGTCCTGAAAAATGGCCTCCCTGCAGGCTGATTTTTCTTTCTTGATTAACAGAGTATCTTTTTACATTTCAGGTCAGAGCCCTACATAATCAACCTTGTGAAGATGTATGTGCGGCGTCCTTATTGCTGCCATGAGCTGTTTGGGTTTGATGTTATGCTGGATGAGAACCTTAAGCCATGGATCCTGGAAGTCAACATTTCCCCTAGGTAACCTGTGCTTTATGCACCATCCAGTGCAGCCTTTGTTTGCCGTATTTCAATTCAATTTCAATTTCAATATTTATTGCAATGTGGATGCTATCCATAGTCTCCAGTCTGTTCCATAAGTGTTTGCTGATTTTTTTTTCACTATAAAGTCTTTGTAGTGTTAAGAGGTTGTTTACTGCTCCAACTTTTTAATGAGAGGGAATTAAGTGAAAGGAGAGATTAAAGAGCACTGTATGGGAGAGTTAGATGGTGAATAAAAGACTGGTTATGATGTAACTTTCCTGAAACAATATTACTGTGTAATTTTGAATTGATTATCCCTTTGTCATTTTTTTCCTCACTTTGATTTGAGCTTATAATTTGCATGGACAGCTATCCTGAATGTGAAAGTAAAAAAAAAAAAAAAAAGACGAGCCTATTAAACAAATTTCCAAAAACATGCCTATTTTTTCCTGCAGCCTTCATTCGAATTCTCCTCTTGATGTGAGCATCAAAGGCCAAATGGTCCGGGATGCCCTTAACTTGGCTGGCTTTCAGTTGCCTAATGCAGAAGATGTGGCTTCACCTACCGGAAGTGCCAGCAGCTCCACAACCAGGTCAGATTGCAAGTTCAGAAAGAAAAATCAGAGATGGAAATAAAGCACTTCTTTCAGAGTGGGATGTTTGATTCAGCATTACTCATCTAGCTATGTATATTTTGCTGTCACACTGTATCATGTGTACGTCAATATACTTAGAGCCTTAGAAAAACATTTCTAGGAAGGATTTGAAAACATCTGGTTAAAGCCTTCTGAAAGCTATAAATAAGGGGTACTGTCTGTAGGCAATCATTGTTGTTTTAGGCTTCTTTTGCCTTTACTCTTTCTTACCTCCAAGATTCAAGAACTGAAGTGGGAAGAAGAGACCCTGGATTAAGTCTGTCTTTAGCCATGGAAGCTTAATTGTTGATTTAGGACCAATCGGTTTTTCTTACAGTTACCTTTCTGAAATCGCAGTTAAGGATAAAATTTAATCCCACATGATTGTTGTTATCGGGAAAAAATTGGAGGAAGGACCACTGTGTATGCTGTATTTTACTTCTGGAGGAAAGGAAGGATATAAACCCAACCAATAATAAATATATGTAAAATAGCTTTTATTTTAAGGCAATACTTCATGTATCTGATTAAATGGACTGTGATCTAGGAACATTTAAGCAATAAAAGGTTTGCTAGTCTTTAAGATAGTATATGAGATGGATGCTGGGTAAGAATCAGAGGTGGTATTCAGCAGGTTCTGACCAGTTCTGGAGAACCGGTAGTGGAAATTTTGAGTAGTTCGGAGAACCGGTAAATACCACCTCTGACTGGCCCCGCCCCCATCTATTCTCTGCTTCCCGAGTCCCAGCTGATTGGGAGGAAATGGGGATTTTGCAGTAACCTTCCCCTGGAGTGGGGAGGGAATGGAGATTTTATAGTATCCTTCCCCTGTCACACCCACCAAGCCACACCCACAGAACCGGTAGTAAAAAAATTTGAATCCCACCACTGGTAAGAATGATTATTTTTACCAAATTCCTAGGATGGCTAGCCTACAGTGACGGTAGTGGTTTTCTATAGACCTAGTTTTAGCAAAAGAAGAATTAATCGAAAGAGTTTATCCATTTTATAGCCGATAAAAAGTAAACAGTTTTTCCTTGGTGAATCCTCTAAACCTATGCATTATTCACTGACAGCAGAAATAGGAGTGATGCAACATTTCATTAAAAAAATGTCCACCCCATTTTAACTAGCACTACTTGTGATGCTCATAACAATTTTTCACATTCCATTTTGTGATAGCACAAAAGAAATGCCATATCTTTATTATGGAGCTCTTACGAGCTAATTTAGCTAATAATTTACAGGTTTAAAGATAAAGATAAAGAAGCAGGAGAATTGTATGTCCCTGTGGTAGTTTAAATTAAGTTTAAATTAAATAAATTTTGTGTTTGGGTAAAAATAATACAGAGATTGAATTCTCCAGACAATGGACTGATCAACTATTTTTAAAAACGGGCTGGATTTCAAGCAAAGTTGTATTATCCGTATTTGATTATGAATTATTAAGTATTTGTATATTTCTGGGTCAGATCAATCTCTTAAGCCAAAAGATTTGCCCACCCCAATTTTGTTTCAATACTGTAATGTTAAGTATTCTTTGGAAGCTTTGCCTGATCTTCATTAATGTTTTATCTGTAATTTTTTTTTTTTTTTTTTTTGCTATCACTGAAATAAACAATTTTTGCTCTAGGTAACTAAAGGGTATTAACCAATCTCTGGCTTGATTAGTTAGTTCCTTTGACTAATAATTTTAACTCTTGTGATATCTAGCCTGAACACTGTAATGAAGGAAAAAAACAAGCCGCCTGTGGAGTTGCTGACTGCTGAGAAAGCCAAAAAAGCCTATTACTTGACCCAAAAACTACCAGAGCAGGTAGGTGGCATCACATTCCCTGACTTCAGTCTTTGTGGCAAGGTCTTCGGAAGGCTTGCATTACTGTTTTTCTTTGGTTTGGGGATTGTTTGAAATTGAACCAGCTGTTTGTGTCACTAGAACTTTCCACTTGGAAAACTAGAAATGTGCAATTTTTCCACCTCAAACTGGTTGCTTTCGAAATGCAGTATAAGCCAAGCTTCTAGAATTTTGGTTCAATCTTAGTACAAAATGTGACTGGTGTGAATGATATTGTTTCAAGTCTTTTACCTGTTCCGAGCGCTGTCTTTGGACTGTTTGATGGGCTGTATTGGGGTTGTTGTTATTGTTTTTTCAAACTTTCTCTAGTCCGATCAGTCCAGAGTCAGGGATTCAGTCCTGCCCCTGCTACTGTTGGTTCAGATTGCATAGAATGATGTGACAGTTCAGATCGCATGAAGCGATTCTGAGAGGAAACGGTCAGTGATACACATAGACAGATTAAAACTGCTTGCGTCTGGCATCCTGACTGGCAAATTATTTTTGTTTAAAAAGAAAATGCTTAGCAATGAGGAAGTTAAGCGTTCATATGAGCGAATGGGATGCAGTTAGAATTGATGTGGATTGGTTGTTTGTGGTGGTGTGCTTAATTTTGCAAGCAGAGGTATGTGCTTACACTACTCCTGTGCTTCATAGACAAATGTTATGATAATACAGTTAAGATTGTATAAATGCAAAGACTCCTAGTATGATGTTAATTTGCTTGGTTTGAATACTTGGTGCATATCCTTTTGCATACCCTTGTGTCCTAATAATGTTCTGTTTCAGGTATTGTTTAAAAATCTACTGTAGAATTTAAGCTGATTTGCTGAGCTTTGCAGTATGTGCTCTTGCTGCATGTGTTTTTGTTTGTTGTAATATTAATGTTGGGAGGGGTGGCTCAGCGGTTAAAGACGCTGAGCTTGTCAGCTGGTGAGCTGACGGCCTGGGTTTGAGAGCCGAGTGCCATGCGACAGGGTGAGGTCTCGTTACTTGCTCCAGCTCCTGCCCACCTAGTAGTTTGAAAGCATGCAAATGCGAGTAGGTAATGCCAGAAAAGTTGATGTAATGCCTTGTGATTCTTGGCCTCAGGAATTCTGCTCCACAATCCTGGATGTCCTGACCCCCGATGATGTCCGTGTCTTGATAGAGACGGAGGATGAGTATGCTCGACGTGGGCAGTTTGAGCGAGTCTTCCCCTCACGCTTCTCCATGCACTATCTACGCTTCTTTGAGCAGCCGCGATACTTCAACATCCTTACTACACAGTGGGAACTGAAATATTTCTTGAACAAATCCAAAGGTAAAAATAAAATCTACAGTGTTCTTTTCTTTTATAGACAGGGAGCTGCTGGTCAATGATCATCCTTTCTTTGGATGGGATAGATGTGGAGTTGTATAACCCGGAGCTTTTGGACATTCCCGAAACCATTGCATTTATTGCCATTTTGGACTACCAGCAAAAGTTACCCACCGACCAGTCCGCTCCCACAGAGAGGGTCTCCTCAGGGTGCCATCAGCCAAGTTATGTTGGCTGGCGACACCCAGGGGGAGGGCCTTCTCTGTGGGAGCCCCAGCCCTGTGGAATGAACTGCCCCCGGAAATACGTAAGATCTCCGACCTCCGGGTGTTGCGTTGCGCATTGAAGACCCTGTTGTTCCGCCAGGCCGGGCTATCAATATAATAATTTTAAATTGGGGTATTTTAAATTTTGGGGGTTTTAAATCGGCCAAATTATTTAATTATTTTAATTTTTAATCATTGTTGTGTCTTGTGTTTTTAAATTGGCTGTACACCGCCCTGAGTCCTTCGGGAGAAGGGCGGTATAGAAATAAAATTATTATTATTATTATTATTATTATTATTATTATTATTATTATTATTATTATTATTATTATTATTATTATTAT